AAGCCAGTGATTATACTTTTATCTTGTAGATTAGAGGTTCCTTTCATCTGTAGCAACTTTTATCCTGTTGTTTCTTTTCTGTGATTTTATAACTAGAAAGAATGTAAAACATTGGGGAGCTCTGCCTCTCAACATGTAGATACGTATACTGTAGCTGCATGCTGGAAAAGCAGAATCCCTACCTTATTATGCTGCTAAAAAGCTCATGACTTCTTTATAACTGTGTTGGTAACAGTTCCTAACATTGGTCGCCATTTTTATTCTTTTTGACCACTACCACTTTCAATGAATTATTTTAAAATGAACAATATCTACTGTATTATGCATAAAGGCCGGTGACGTATGTGCAGACAAATGGGCATGACTAAGAATAAAGAAGGGCTTTGCCCAATAAATTTTTAGTACAGTGTTCACATAGACACCATATATGGTGTTTTCCATTTTCTTTCAGGATGACTCGAAAACTACTCATTATTTATCAGGATTTTTTTTATAGTCTCATGTGCCAGTGGGTTGGGTCTGGCACACTATACTAGGTTTCTTTATGCAGGTTATCGTCAGTGGGCTTAAAAATTGCTTTAAAATTTGGCTAAGAGAGAATTTTTCATTCTTATAATTTTTTGATGCATATACATTCACTTATGTTGTGTAGCAAGTTTGAGCTGATTCCGATCAAAATTAGATTTTTACAAATTTTTAAAGTTACTCAAAAGTTGGGCCAAAAACCCTGTACTATTTAAGTACAGGCAGGGTCGTTGGCTGATTTGTTAAAGATGACTAGGTAGGAGAGAATTCTCCTTTTATTCTGATACCATATTTCCTTGAATTCTATTTGCAGGTACTATTAATTTCAGAAGCAAGAGCACTGCGGGTAAAATACAGGGGCAAATAGTATTCAAGGGCGAAGACTAATAATTTCAGTTCCATTTTATTAGCAGCTACCCAAACTTTTTGTGCTTCCTTTACAGCTAACATGTGCAATTATGCATTAGATCTAATACTACTGTGCATGCATAACATGCAGTAATAATTCAAGGGCAAACATTATTTTATTCAGCCTTCTTAATGGTGCGGATATAATTTAAGGGTGGATATAAATTGAGGGTGGATATAATTTGAGGGCAAAAAGATTTCAAGGAAATACGGTACATCCTTATGCTGCGTGTATCAACTTTGAGCTGATTCCAGTTAAATTTGGATTTTTCTGAATTTTATAGTTGCTCCAAGTGTCATGTACTATATTGTGGTGCTTGTCAGCTCACAAAGCATACTTTTTGCTCACCTAGCATACTTTGTGGGAAATTATGTCTATGATGCACTACCATATAGCCGGAAAATTTGGCAGATTGGCGCTTTAAAATAAAACAGCCAATAATATAACTGTCAATAATAATTACAATGAGTGAGATACTGAAAGAAAATGATGCATTTGAAGTATTTCAGTCGAGATTGTGGACAAGGAACAACTTGAAAAGCTGAGAAAAAAAGACAAGATAATAATTTGCCAATATTATGTTTAAGCAATTTTGATGCAAAACCATCTAAGTTTAGACCACCAAATTTTCTGGCTATACAGTATTCAGATAACATTAGTAAAGAGCTAATTTTTACTGCTCTAGAATTGCAAGTGGAGACATACTTGCAACTATATTAGAGTCTTGCTCTACTTTGCAATACACTCAATTCTATGAAACTGCTAATTTTCTCCCTATACACTGACAGTAATACTGATAAATGTATTTATTCTTAGGTGTTAAGGAATTTTTAAAAAATAAGCTCAAAATTAAGAAGCAACAGATTGAAATCAAGCTTACAGATCCACCTGATCCTGCCAGTGTTTCTACCAGCACTGCAACTCCTGATGCCTTGGGATTAGATTATTATCCTGATTTGATTGAAGTCACTTTTGATGGTGATATTGATACTGATACTATTCAGATGTACTTTGAAAGCAAACGCTCAGGAGGGAAGAGGGAAAAAGTAGTTGAATCTATTAAGACGTTTGAAGAGGGTGTTATCCATGTTAAGTTTGAATCACCAGATGGTAAGACTATATTTATAATTCATTATAATTACCATGATTTTAGATGCATTAGCTGTTATTTCACAAGGGGAGCATTCAATCAAAGTTAAAAAGCAGCCTCGTAAACTTGATATTCGCTATGTCCCTCTTCCACCAGTAAAGGAATATGATAAGAACAAGTTAATAATCAAGGATATACCAGAAGGAGTGGAAGAAGTGGTTTTATCGATGTTTATTGAAAAGCACTTGGGATTAGATGAAGATGATTTTACAATTGATTTAAGATCTGATGTTGCTATACTGCTTCTAGAATCTTCTTACACTGATGAAGGTAATGTGTATGTTCCTTTTTACCAATTTATTATTGAATGATAATAGAGCTAGATGAAATGGTTGAGAAATTAGGAGCAAAAAAACTGCCACGAAGAAAGGAGCAGCTGACTATTGAAAGATGTGAAGTTAATTACAGTATTTACATTGCTGGCATCAGTAACAAGGGTCTTGCTTCAGAAGATAATTTGGAACTTTATTTTGAAAGTTCAAAAAGTGGAGGAGGAGACGGTGTAGTTGAGAAAATTGAGATGCTAGCAAAAGACAAAGCAAAAGTGACTTTTAATGATCATTCAGGTATTTAATATAATGTATTTAGATATAACTTATACTCGCGTATAGTTATTCAAAGAGTTTTAAAGAAGAAACACCCTAAACTGGGTCCTAGTGTCAGTATTACTGAATGTTCAGTCTTGGACTCTTTAGACGAAAGTACAATTGAAGATGAAGAAGACGAAGACGATAAAGAGGTGGAGGAGCCTATTAAAAAGAAATCAAGTCACAAAAGAGACAATAAAACTGGAGAAAAGCCAGTAAAAGGACGTGATAAGAAGAATAAGCAAAAAAAGTCCAAAAAGAAAGATATTTGTAGCAGCAGTGATGATGATGATCGATCAGATGGTTCTTCACCTCCTCCTCTTGTTGAGAATGGTACTTCTCCTCAAGTTCCACTCAATCCTGTACACCATCCGTTGGATCCTCTTCTTGCTAAGTATGTTCGTTTAAAGCCTGACATTACCAAGGGCATTGAAATGGAGTTTCAAGTTAAGATTACTGCAGCTGATGCTGGTATTATTACAATATCACCTTCACCTTCCTCTCCTCCTGACTGGCCTGAAAAAGCTGTAGATATGATGCAAGAGTTTATCTCTAGTTCACTTACTAAAGTCGATTTACCTGTTCCTCCAGAAGTTAGTAGTTCAGTTTATCCAATGGTAATGAAAGAATGCAATGATGAAGGTTTACAATATGCTTTTGGCCAAGGTAACAATAAAGTTGCAATAGCTGGTCATATTGATGCTGTAACAAAGCTACAGCGCAATGTTGCTGAACTATGTGGCAGAATGATACAAAGTGTAGATGAGATTGAACTTTCAAAGGAAGACTTTACGTACTTCAAGGGTTGGGCTTTATCTCGAGTTCAGCAGCAACACAAAGCATTGAAGCTGCAATGTCATGATGATCGTTTATCAGTATCTATTGATGGTTCTATGAAAGATGTGGACGATGTTAAGTCTAAGTTACCACAGTATTTAGTTCATAGTAAAGTTCCTGTTAGCCTGCAACCAGAAGCATTGAAGTTTTTGCATGATGACCAACCAGGAAGACAAAAGCTTAATACCATGCTCAAAGGTCATCCTGAAGTCATTCCTTATTTTGCTAATAATGCAAATAATCAGCTCTTCTTCTTTTTACTCTGCTCAAATAGCTATATTGATAAAGCTGAGCATGTAGTAACAACTATTCAGCAAGAAATAGTAGTCCAGTCTATTGACTTGCCACAGTCATTTTTAAGACAAGTATCTGATTCCAAGTTTGCATCATTTCAAACTAACCTTGCCAAAAAATATTTCTTTTCTGCCACTGTACATCAGAGCAAACTTACATTAGTCAGTACTCGTAGCAGTATAGCTGATGTTAGTAGAGAATTTCATACTTTTGTTACTGAAGCTTGCTCTGTCACTGATGTAATTCATTTTAAAAGAGGAGTTTGGCGTCTGTTGCATTCAACTTCAATGGAGAAAAAATGGACTGATCTTTTGGAAAATATGAAAATGAGAGGCATCATGATTGTTTTCTCTTCGAAACCAACAGCCCAAAAACCATGCATTAAGATTAAAGGAGAGGTACATAATTTGGAGTTTGCAAATGAAAAAATTATGGAGTTCCAAGCTGCTGTGAAAGAGAGACAGGTAACAATCTCTCGTCCAGGAATGGGTAAATATTTTTTGAGTAATCCTCAAGGCCAGACCATGCTGAAAGGTATTGAGTATGAAGCTAATGTTTGTATAGAAGTTGAAGTTAGTAAAGAAAATTTTGGAGATGATGAGCCTTCCATGACAGCTGGTCGAAGTTTCAAAAATATTGGTTTTGGAACTACTCCTGAGATGAAGAGAGTGAATGTGATAGTTGGTGATATCACAGAGTTTGATAGAGCTGATGTTATCGTTAATGCTGCTAATGGCCAACTAGCTCATGATGCTGGCATAGCTGCTGATATTGTAAGAAGAGGAGGTCCAGCAATCCAAGAAGATTCAAGAAGGTACATTGATAAGAATGGAAGTCTTTCTGATGGAAAAGCTGTTCTCTTTCCAAGAGCTGGTAACCTACCTTATAAGGCAATAGTTCATGCAGTGGGTCCAATATGGAATAGATTTGGAGATAACTCCAGAGGAATAGCATTATTAAAAAAGGCCGTGCGCCAAAGTCTTGAGAAGTCCAGGAGTTATACCTCAATAGCTATCCCAGCAATAAGCAGTGGTTTGTTTGGTTTCCCAGTTGATGTGTGTGCTGATACTATTCTGAAAGCTATTGTTGAGTTTAGTAGTGCTGACCATGGCTCACAGCTTAATGAGATTAATATAGTTATTTTTGAAGATAACGTCAATGAGTTTTTAAAAGCAGCTGAGAGAGAATTAAAAGGTTTCCAGTCTTATAGCTCTACTCAAAGTTCATTGTCTTCCTCATCAGCAGCAGCTCCTTCAATTCAAACTGCATCAACTCCACTAAGCAATGGTAGTGCAGGACGTCGTAAAATTAGAGGATCGACCACACCAACCACACTGACTGCTCCAACTGCAACACCAGGCAGAGTATCTCAGGTTACTCCAGCAGTATTTTTACCTTTGGTTAAAATTACAAATGGAAGTATTATACAGCATCAGGTAAATAATACTTGCCTATATCAGCTATCAATAGACTATTATATGTCCATCCTTTAGGAAGAAGCAATTGTGAATACTACAGACACTGATCTTGGTTTTGGAGGGCTTGTGGCTAAAGAAATATTGAAAAAAGCTGGTTCTAATCTGGAACAAGAATGTTCTGAGCTTAAGCCAGTTGCTGTTGGTAGCGTAACTGTTAGTGGTGGACACAACCTGAAATCAAAACACATTCTTCACGTTGTGTTGCCTGGATATGATGGACCTAATGGAAATGCTGAAACGGTAATACATTATCATGCACATGGTGTTTTAATGTTTATAATACAATAGGTATTAAAACAAGTTGTATACGAGTGTCTAAAAGAATGTACTCGTCTTAAACTCAAGAGTTTGTCAATGCCTTCTATTGGAGCTGGTAACCTGAAGTATCCAAATGATGTTGTGGCTAGAGTATTAATGGAAGAAACAACATCATTCTTTCAAAAGAATCAAGGAAAGACGTCACTTCAGTTGGTTCACTTTGTCATATTTGATCGGAAGATTTATAATGAATTTCAATTAGTTTATAAGAATATGAGCTCCCCCTCCACTACCATTGTTCCTAGTTCTGTCACACCCCCTTCACATCATAATGGTACGTCATCTTTTGGATCCCATCAGAGAAAAGTACAAGCTTCTAGTCAATCAACAGCCTCCTTCCCACTTCCTCACGGTCTTAGTCTAGAATTGCTGCAAGGTGACATATCAGATGATGATTCTGATGCTATTGTTAATACAACTCAAGAAAATTTAAAACTAGTTGGTGGTGGTGTGTCAGGTGCATTACTAAAGAAAGGTGGTCGGGCATTACAACATGCCTGTGATAGTGCTGTTGCTAAAGGTAAAACAGCAAAAGAGGGTAAGGTTGTTCCTACTAAAGCTACTGGTAGTCTGAAGTGTAAAGAAGTGTTTCATATTGCTTTTCATGGTGGGAGGAATTTAAGTAAAACTGTTCTTGCGTGTTTAGAGCTAGCAGAAAAAAAAAGGTTTTCTTCAATATCCTTTCCAGCTATTGGTACTGGAACTTTTGACTTTCCACCTGCCGATGCTGCCAAAGCAATTGCTGATGCATTGCAGAAGTTTATTTCATCACAGCCAAAGCATGTCAAAGTAATGCGAATGATTGTATTTCAAGCTCACTTGTATAAAGATTTTGTTGGTGCTTTTAAAAAAATTGGAGACTCCAGTGGTGGTTTAATGAGTTACATATATAATGGTATGAAAGCTGCAGTGAAATCTTTATTTGCCTCTAGTAGTGAGAGCAGTGATGATGATGACCCTGGTAAGATGGAAGCAGAACCAATTAAGACTCCTAATATTGAAGATGAAGAATTTGAAGATCTTGGGGAAGATGAAGTTGTTGCAGGAATGCTTGCTAAACTTTCTTTGGCTTCAGAAGTGACACTTCACATTTATGGTGAGACAGATTCAATGGTCGGAAGAGCAGAGAAGAAATTACAGTCTACAATTGCTACAACATTTCATACCGAGGAAATTGCTGATCCTAGTATCACTGCTTTCTCTGATGAAACTGTGATTGAGCTTGAATCATTTGCTAGAGATCACAATGTTGATATTGAAATTGATCGAGATCCTAACCTTTATTCAGTTAACCTTCAGGGATTTTTTCAAGATGTTATGCTTGTCAAAGATAAAATTCGTGATATGACGTCTACTATAACTCAAGAGCAATCGAATAAAGCTGCTGCTGCCTTAGTTTCTAAAACTGTCTGTTGGATAAGGATTAATCCAGATGATGAAAAGGAAGAAGAGTATGGTGAAATACAAAATTATGAAATTGAGCAAGCTTTTCAAAACAAGAAGAAAATTTATGATGCTGCAGATGACAATTTTTTTATAAATTTTGGGAAAATGGAGGAAAGAGATAAAGTAACTGATAAAACTGCTATTGTTAAGCGTCTAGATCTCACAATAGCACAAGGTATCCAATATTGTATCATTTTTATAATTTATTTTTTAATTTTACAGAACAACCTGATAACTGGGATCCAATGCCTCAGGACTCTCAAGGGAAAGAAAAGCGATTTCATTTTGTCACACTACCAGCTACTGGTCCTGAATACAAAACTGCTGAGACAGCTTTCAATACAACAATGGCTGGAAAATATGCTAAGATTCTTAGCATTCAAAGGCTACAGAACCCGACCTTGTACAAGCAGTATGCAGTTAGGAAGAAAGAAATGGAAAAACACAATCCTAATGGTCATCAAAATGAACGGCTGCTCTGGCATGGTACCAGTCCTGATACACTGGATAAGATTAACACACGTGGTTTTGATCGTAACTTTGCAGGAAAAAATGGTAAAGTAAATTACATACTTTTATATTATATCATTATATTTTTATAGCTACTGTGTATGGTAAAGGAGTGTATTTTGCTCGTGATGCATCATACTCTCACAGATACACATCACCTGATGCTAATAGTGTTCGTCATATGTACTATACTCTTGTTCTTACTGGTGAATTTACTGTTGGTAATAATTCAATGTTAGCTCCTCCTCCAAAAAATCCTCAAGTTGATCCTAATGTTACGTTTGATGCTACTGTTGATAATGTTGCTGATCCATCAATTTTTGTAGTTTATCAAGATGCTCAAAATTATCCAGCATACATGGTTAACTATCAATGAATTTATGAACTTAGACTGTGTACTAGTTTAGGCCTTTAGCTTTATTTTCTATTAGATTTATCTTTAGTATTGATTATTAGACCTACTAGATCTATATGACTATAGCTTTTGTTGAAATATGCTTTTTTCAAAATAATTTAATTTTCTCTATTCTCTTAGGACTCTAATAGTAAAAATCCTGATCTAAACTGTTTCCTAAGAACAACCCCTTTTGATATCTAACTGTAAGAGAGAGAGGAGGGAAAAAGAAAGAGCAAAGGGAAAGGGGAGACTAACAATGAGCACTTATTTACATTGAAATGGTGTAATTTTGTCTACAAAATGGCACAGGAGTAGCTAAAATGTTTTAGTGCCTCAATATAATAATTAACATTACTGATGACAATTTTTGAGTTATGAGCATTCAACAATTTTAATTTGTATTGCATGATAAAGGAATCCTTTTTATTATTACGTGTTCTTATGCCTTTACGTTATAGAATGTTTAAGCAAATCTTAAATTTCTAACTAAGGCTTCCCACAAATGTAGTGCTCATGCAGGTTCATGTCAGTGAATTTTCAAGTTAATCAAAAATTTGACAAAGTGCCATAATACTACACTTTCAAAAAATGCTAAAAGAGAATTTTTCATTTTAATAATTTTTTCATTGTATATACATGTTCTTGAAGTTACTCAATAATCAGGCCAAAGTTGCCATACAGTGTCATTAGTACAATTGTACATTACATGACAATTACAATACATATTGTGCATTGGTACAATTAGTACTGTATTAATTATCAATAGTACAGTGTCATATAATTTTTTTGATACATATACATGTTCTTATATTGTGTAGCAAGTTTGAGCTAATTCCAAACCAAAATTGAATTTTTTAACAAATGTAATTCAAAAATAAGGGCAGATTTCCTGTACTATAGTACAGTTGCCAAAAAATGACTAGGAGGGATTTTTTTTATTTTTCTGATGCATGTTCTTATAGCAAGTTAGAGATAATTCTTGATTATTATGAATTTTTTAAGTGACCCCAAAGCCATGTACTGGTACATACACTATTGTCAACTCATGAAGCATGCTTTTAACTCACTCGGAATGCTTTGTGGGAAATCCTGTTTGTAACTGTATAGTTAATAATTTGTTTTTAAAAATTTTGCTACTTTTTAAGGCAATTGTTGTTGTTGCTTGACTCATATAAATGTAACTCTTAACATGTGAAA